CACTCTGCATTATAAGTGTGCTCTCTGCCCCCTTGTGGTCATTGCGTAGCATAACTGACACTGCTTTGTAGATGTACCCGTAGGGTACGTCTAGACTACAAGCCTCTTTCGAAAGAGAGCATCTAGACCGCAACCAGTACTTTAGAAAAAGCGAGCCACTATTTCAAAAGAGCACCCAGGCAGTCTGGATGCTCTCTTTCGAAAAAGCAGTTTGCATTCAAGAACGCCTTTTTTCGAAAAAGCACTTTCGAAAGAAGGTGTTTTTCCTTGTAAAATGAGGTTTACCGCAGTCGAAAAAACTGCCACATTCTTTCAATTTAATTTTGAAAGAAGGAGGTGGCACTCTAGACGCAGGGGAAGTTTTTTTTTTTTTTTTAAAAAACCTGTAGTCTCGACACACCCGTAGTGACCATTTCTGAAAACTAGGCTGTTAGGGTGCATCTAAGCAGGGCTTAACTTGAAATATGTTACGCAAATTGGTCTATGTCAATTGCGTAGCGTATTTTGAAATTGGGAGCATCTCCACAGCACTTATTTTGAAATAGAGCACTCTTCCTCTGACTTCCCTTCCTCCTCGTCCAATGAGGGCTACAGGAGTCGGAGTAAGAAGTCCTCCAGCTTGCCAGTATTTTCACACTATTTTGAAATAATGTTGTTGTGTAGACGTACCCTTAAGTGACTTACCATGGAGGTCCCATAGCTTATTACAAACAGAATTCAGAATTGAATCATTGTCTTTTGGTTGCCCTGCCCATACACAGCGGAAAAACCATAGCTTCCCCTCCTAGCTAAGGAACAGGCTACATTGATTCTCAGACTATCCAATTGCTCAGTGGGTTCTGATTAGTTTACTTTTGTTTGTTTGTTTCTCAAACACACATTCCCTTGACCACTTGGTTTGAGAATTAATAATAATTAATGGCGTTTGGTGCCTGACAGCAGCTGACAGTTTAAACAACAGATAAACAGGAAGGCCTGAAAATCTGAAACCTATGCTGTGTCTAGACTAGCAAGTTTTTCCGGAAAATGAGCCGCTTTTCTGGAAAAACTTGCCAGCTGTCTACACTGGCTGCTTGAATTTCTGGAAAAGCACTGACGATCTCATGTAAGATCGTCAGTGATTTTCCGGAAATACTATGCTGCTCCCGTTCGGGCACAAGTCTTTTTCCGCTGATGTCAAGGTGCCCCCTCCCACCCTGTTTTCTATCTCCACACAGTAGGGCAGGGGGCACAACAGGGCTTGGGATGGAGGGAGTTTTCTGGCTGCTTTCGGGAGTGGTGCAGGGCCAACGCAGGCGTGAGCCCGCCTTAGCTCCATTGAGGTAAGCAAGGCCCAGTTGGAGCCTGAGGCCTCTTGGCCAAACCAGTCAGGATCACCTGTCAGAGGCTCCAAGATCTACCCGTCGATCCCGATTGATGTACTGCATTCACCTGCACACCAGGGAAGACTTAATCATCTGTCAGAGGCTGTGACAGGAATTACTGGTTCTGTACTTCATCAGGCCAAGGAATAGAGTGTTTTTATCAGTAATTTCCTTGGACAAACAGGACCGAACTGCTCCCTTTAAACTTTCCTATAACAGCCTTCACCAGGGAAAAAACCTTGGTTCCTACATTCTATCTTCTCTCAGACATGTTTATTAGAAAGTACAGATGCTACCAATCAACTATAGGCTGAACCTCTCTAGTCTGGCACTCTTTGATGTGGCAACTTCTGTTGTCCAGCATTTTAGTGAGCTGGCTGTCCACGTATCATGGGTGTGACCAAGTTTCCCACAGTCCCATAAAGTCTGTTTGCAGCCACCAGCCCTGGCTCCCATTGTTCTGTGCTGTGATTTAGCTCGAATTCACCCCTAAAAGTCTTCTAAGAGCCCACCAGGGAGTGGAAGTGTGGGTGATGCTGCTAGACCAATGGTCACCAACCAGTCGATCGGGATCTACTGGTAGATCTTGGAGCCTCTGACAGGGGATCCCAAGGGTTTGGCCAAGAGGCTATCAACTGCCAGAACTTCAGCTGCCCCTCCACCCAACTGTTATGCATCTCCTGTCCTTTGACTTGCAGGTGTACCTCTCCCCCTCCCCCATGAGCCTCCTGCTTGCTGTGCAGGGCAGGGAAGGGAAAGGAGCGGGGGTTGATGTCAGGATGCCCACTCTTCTGCTCTGTATCCTAACTCCACAGAATGGGGGTGGGGGCACAACAGGGCTTGAGATGGAGTTTGCTGGCTGCTTTTGGGAGTGGTGCAGGGCCAGGGCCAGGGGGGGCCTGCCTTAGCCCCCCTGCACCACCACCCAGGAGCCACCTGAGGTAAGCAGTGCCCTGCTGGAGCCAGAATCCCAACCCTCTGCCCCAGTCATGAACCCCCTGTTGCACCCCAAGTCCCTGCCCTAGCCCTGCGCCCCCTGTACTCAAACTCACTCTCAGAGCCTATACCCTGAACCCACCTCTGCACCCCAACTCCCTGCCCCAGGCTCAGCTCAGAGCCCCACCATCACTGCAAATCCCATAGCCCCAGAGCAGAGCCTGTGTCCCAACCCTCTGCCCCTGCCTGAGGAAAGGGAGTGAGAATGGGGGAGGATGGAGTGAGTAGGGTGAGCAGGGGCTGGGCCTTGGAGAAGGGGCACAAAGAAGGCCCAGCAAGAGTGTTTGCGTTTGAGGTAGATCCTGGGTTGCACTTAAAATTCAAAAAGTGATCGCATGCTTAAAAAGTGTGAAGACCCCGGAGATAGACAATAGTCACCTCCCATGGTCTGGAAAATGCTCTGGCTTGCACCGGTCAGGTCTCGAGGGTGCCAGACTAGAGAGGTTCTATCTGTCCTGCTATGTAACGTGTCTTATCAACTGACACTTGTTCCTATTCAAGAGGTGGCATGAAAGGGTCCCAAAACTATTGTTGTTCGTGTTTGTATTCCTGCAGCAGGACCGTGTGGTACTAGGTGTTGCCCAGAGACAGGACAAAAAAAGCCCAAAGAACTGGCAATCTGCTCAGGCTGCTTTCTCCGACCCCGTGGGGTAGGACAGTGGGTGCAGTTTATGTTACTGTAAATGCCAGACCTCTGGAGAAGGGTAGCGTGATATAGGGAGGATGCTGCATGTGCATGTGGGCACCTCGCGAGGTAGATGCTGCTCTGATAAGTTGTGATTCGCTGTGACATTTCTACCCACCAGCGCTACATCCTGTTCTAACAATGGCATGAACCACCATCAGCCTGCAGTGACTCAGCACAGCCTCTTGTTTGTAAAGCAGTGGAAGCTGTAGCAAGACTTCCAAACTGAGGTCAGAAAATTTCAGCGTGTGCCGTGTCACCCTCTCCTGCACCACCACAGCGCAGCATGGAACACACTCTTTGCTCCTGATACATTTCACTTGGGTTTTTTCCTAAAGGACATTAGAAAAATGAAAAGACCCTCGCCACGGCTGGCTCATCATTCTACAAGCTCCCTGCTCCAATGATCAGTGTAAAAGAATTGTTCTTTTATGCATTACAGTAGCGCCTGCAGACACCAGCTGAGATCAGGGCTCGAATGTGTTTGCAGCCCAAAAAGACGAGGGGAAATTTTCCGTTTTTCAAAAGGGGAACTTAGCTACACACGGAATCGATAGTAGAGGCAGGGATTGAACCTAGTTCCCAGACTCGTGTTTTAACCACATGCCACCTTGCTTTTTTACAAAATGAGCTTTCCTTGCTTTTTTTGAGTTTGAACTGCAGCAGTGTAGTTCAGTTCATGCTTAAAGCTTCTTGTCCATCTGCTGCTCAGATAAGAGGAAGTGTGAGTCTCATTCTTTTGTCACTGCCCTGACTTCCACTTTCTCAGGGGTTAGTCCAAGATTTTTTTAGTGAGCTCCCTGGTTTCTGTGTGCAGCTGGTTTGCAGGTCTCTATTCCTTTGTCTTCTCTCCAGTACAGAAGTAGTCAATGGGCTGACCATGGGCCAAACCACCAAACCCTGAAATGATTTTATTTACCTGTTAATATGATTATTGTTTTTTTTTCTTTTCTCTGGCATCTGAACCTTGACTATAACTTAACCGAGAAATCTGGGCTTTGACAAACAATAAGGGTATGTCTACACAGCAAATTTGAGCTATGCAAATTGCAAAGCTTATTTCGTGTTAATTTCGAAATAGCTTATTTTGAAATTTGGTGCTGTTCCGAAATTTCCCTTACTCCTTGTGGAACGAGGTTTACAGGGGCGTTGGAATAGCATGCCTGTTACATTTCAAAATAGTGGTCTTGCTGAAAAGACGCAGAATAGCTATTTCTGGATACCGGATATCCAGAAATAGCGCCGCAGTGTAGACGCACCCTGATTGACCCTCTCTGCTCTAGTTTATCCTATTTACCACAAACACTTACGATGCTTCACCGTGTTGTTTCAGAAAAGGAGAGAGAGAGGGACAGTCAGCGGTCTGTTCCAACCACATGTGGTAACATGGATTCCAGTGTGAAGAGACAGCCAGGTGTGAATTTAAGTTCTTAGGGCATTAGGGTCCTGCTGACTGACCCCACTCCCAGCCACCTCTGCCGCTGGGGTTCTCTGGTCCAGCAACATCCAGAGAGTCCCACACCAATGAGGTTCCACTGTGCTGCATTTTCTCCAACTAACCCTGATCAACAACCCCTAGGAGAAAACGCCAAAGACAAAATGCCCCTGGACTCTCTTTGCTGGCTTCTGAAATGATAAAAGCTGCGATCCAGGTATGCCAGCTCGCTGGTATTCCCTGGAAAGAGCTGGGATATTGTGCTCCCGTGGCCTATTTGGTTGTCCCCCGCAGTGCTGCCTGTGATACGACTCAGCAGGACATGTCCACGGCTGTGGGGTTAAGTGAATTCCTTGTTGATTAAAGCCACCCTGGGCAGGCACTCCTCGTAGGGCTAAGGGAGCTCCATAGCCCCTTCAGCCTTTGGTCTTCTGCGGAGGCTGCCTGCCACCAAGGGGCCCAGAGGTGATTGAGGTTTTGCGATACAGACACCTGTCTTCTAGTGAACGTGCTGGCACTCAGTTCTCACGAGGCATTGAAAAGTCATCGGAGGCATGGATGTAACGGCGGCAAAAAATTGGAAGGTGAGGCTGGGGAAAAGCACTAGACCTGCAGCTGAGCTGGGTGGGAAACCAGGAGGATAGCAGAAAGCCGGGTGGGAAGGATGTTCCACTGGCGACCCCTCTGTGTTTGGCCTGAGGATCAGAAGCTAATCAATGGAGCTGACCAGCTCAAATCTGTCCCAGGCTAGCCGTGAGCATCAGTTAATAATAACACAACTACTTCTCATTATCACCCTGGGACAGATCTCAGCTAATGAACTAGAGTGAAAGATCTCTATCTCATTTGTCTGCAGTGAGAGCTATGACCCCACCACGAAACGTTCCGTTCTTTGAATCAAGATGGGAGATCTTTCTAAAGAACAAACAAAACAAGTAAACACTCTGGCTCACCCACAAGTTACAGGCACATACAGGAATCGCCGGGTGAGAGTCTGTGGTCTGTGTTATGCAGGAGGCCAGACGAGATACTCATTCCTTTGGCCTTAAAAGTAAGATAATCGCTGTTGCAGACTACGTGCTTTAGAAAAACATGGCCAAGTTTGGACGAGAGTCTATTAATCCCGCTACCTCTGTATTTCTGGTGAGGTCTTTCTCGCCAGCACGTGTGGAATGAGTGAACAGAACACCGAGAGCATGTATTTTTCCCGTAAATGCACCAGGGTTATCACTCTGTTGAGGTTATTGGGGTATAACTTGCCCTGATATTTCAGCAGCCGTCCTTGATTTAGGACAGCTCTTTTGTGTGGTGCTTCCTGGTGTATGCAGGACTGTGGGGCACCTTGTTACCCCCTGCCCTTAGCGTGAATAAACCTGTCTCTGCCTGCTGGGGTCAGCTCCCCAACTCTGCTGTCCCTGGGCAACATAATCACTCCCTCTAGAGAAGGAGTAACGGAGTGCTGCCTTCCTGGGGTGGCCAGCCCTCGTGCACTGGACACTCCTGGTATTCTCAGGTTTACTGTGGCCAAAGAAAAGGTCCAGCCCAGCTTACTGGATCTATTTCTGAGCCCCGCTCCATTGGACGCAAGCAATGAAATTTTTCGTTGTTTAAATCAAATGCAAATTTATTTAACAAAGCATAACAACGTGAGTAGGAGCAAGTCGCAGCACTGCAAACAAACGGTTCCGTACAAAATGCAATCAGGGCATGGCATTCTACAGCTCAGACTTAGCTAACACAACGCTCTCCTGGCTAGCACAGTATTTCTCATCTAGACTTGCCGCACTGTCCTGCCGGGCTGCACTCCCAGCAGGAGAGATGCGTGTGGCTAGTTTGCCTCCTTGGTGAAGGCTTCACTGTGTGCCTTTGTACACCACGACAGACCCAACACAAGCCTGCTCTTTCTTCCCTCCTGTAGATTTCCTCCCGTGTCGATTTTCAGTCTCTCATTTAGCACCTGGTTCAATAGGCAAATAGGCTCCATTGTGCGGTACCCGTTACAAGACACACATTGCTGGGAGCCTCAGCAGCAGCGGCTGCCCAGAGGGGTCGGCAGGGTGGTGGAGCTGGCAGCACGTGGGGAGCCAGCTGGGATGCCAGTGGGCTGGGCCGGGCCAGGGCTGGAGGGGCTGGTGGCAGAGGGGCCAGAAATGACTTCCCCATGTCCAGCAAAATCCCTCATCCTGGACCAGTCTGGTCCCAAGGGTGCCAGACCAGGGAGGTCCAACCTGTACATAAGTCCTTAAATATTATCTATCCATACACATTGCAAGAGACCCGACTAGCAGGCCACTGGCTCTCGGTAGAGAAATGTTTTGCCATCCTTTGATGAATTATTATGCACATATGTGACCCAGCAAATCCCCGTAAAACCCACCCTAGGTGTCCTCTGGGCCCTCTGCCAGGTGACATCAAGGTGTCTCGGGCTCACACTCGGATGTAGGCTCCATATTAGGACTATCTGGGTTTGGAGCCATGCACAGGACATAGGTTCTTAAAATAAGAGTGTACGTGTCTTTGAACTTCTTTATCTTACAAGCATAGACAATGGGGTTCATGGCCGAATTGGAGTGAGACAACAGAATGCTCACATACATCAGCATCTGATACTGCTTAGAATGGCCAAAGGCAGCCAACTGACGGCGAACAAGAAGAGGACGAGGGCCAGAGATTTGGCTGTCTTAAACTCCTTCCCATAAAACACGCCCGTGGCTTTCGCGTGGGTTGCATTTTGACTCAGCTTTGTCCGGATAATGTGGAAGATCTCGATGTACAGAACGCACATGAGGAGCAGCGGGATGAGGATCAGGCCGAAGAAGGAGAAGTAGACCATGTAGTCCATTCTCATCACAGAAGGGAAGTGACACTGAAGTTCATTGAGGCTCTCTGGGTCTTTTTGTGTGCTCCTCTGGTTCCATCCGAACATGGGGATAAACCCTGTCAGCAAGGACAGCAGCCAGCAAATGCCGAGGGCCACCCAAATCCTTCTTTTCGTGGTGATTATCCTGTACCTGTTGGGGGCAGAAACCACCAACCCAGTTAGATGGAAAGAATCAGCAGCCAAGAACTGACGCCTTCAAGGGCTGCAGGCTCCCTGGTGGCTGACGTGAGCACTCAGCTCTCTTTTGGGCGAGGTATCATATCTCGGGTGCTTTTGCCATATGTGTCACGATTGCCTGGTTGTAACCAAGTCTCACTCTTACCATTGGGCCTGCTTTCTCTGGGCTGGTGCAGAGCTGATACTTTCCTTTAACGACCTCTCCATTCGTTACTCTATTCCTCTAGACCAGTGAGTTTCAAAGGCTGGATCACAGCCCTGTACTGGGTTGTGGAAAGTCAGGCCCTGGGTCACCAGGTAGGGGGACCAGGTGACCAGCAGGGGGGCTAAGGCAGCTTCCTGCCTGTCCTGGCACTGCGGACCGCATTGCCCTCAGGAAGCAGCCGGCAGCTGGTCAGCTTCTAGGTGGAAGCGAGGTGCCAACTCACGAGATAAAAAAGCAACACAAGCCCTGAAATGAAGCCAGTCCCGTTGCAAACCAAGCCCAACGTGCCTGGTGACAAACCAGGAACCCTCCAACAGGGATGTGGAGCCAGAGTGTGGGGCAAGAGCAGCCTGTGGAGCTGGACCTGCTGCTGGCCACTTCCAGGGTGCAGTGTGGTGCCCTGTGCTGGGACAGGCAGGAAGCCAGCCTCACCATTTCACTGCATCACGGACCGGGAGCTTCCAGAGGTAACCCCAACAATTTCCTGTCCCAGTCCTGAGCACCCCAAACCCCTCCTGCACCCTAAACACTTCAGCCCCATCCCATAGCCTGCACCCCATGTACCCCACCCCCATGCCCCAGCCAGGGTCTCTATCCACATACTAAACCCATTTGCCCCACACCTCAGCCTGTACCCCGAATCCCTCAACTCTGGCCCCAGGCAATGCCTTCCCCCTCCGCACCCTCCCACACCTCAAACCCCACAGCCCCACCCAGAAGCCTGCACTGTACTCAGCAGATATAGTTATGCTGGGTCACGGGCATCTTCAACTGGGTGGTGAGGAAAAAAAAAGGTTGAAAACTGCTGCGCTAGACCACACTGCTCCTCTGCCCTGGGCACGTTTGGCTGCAGGGCATTTGCTCACAGAAATCTGGTCTGATGTTTCAATTTAGATAGGGGGAAAAATGAACTCCAACAGTTAAAGGTGTTCAACTCACCCAGGCCCTGCTCAACATGAAACCGTGTTAAACAGGGGTCTGGGTTTGGAACATGTAGACCCCTCCCTCCCCACATCTGCTTAATACCACAACAATCATACCATTGAACTTCTTTTAGACCTTCTTATTAAAGATACAGGAAAGAACTCAAGACCAGCGAACGCCTTTGAAAAGTAAAGTGGTAAGTCAGGCTTTCATTTTGCCTTCCTCTCTTGTTCCCTTCCCCTTTCGCTGGTTGTCAAAAAAACCCTCCACCATTTCCTGGTTTGACAGTATTTAGACGGTCCTTTCAGGAAAATAGAAGAGGTGAGCTAGGATGGGCTGGAACTGTCATGGATGCTGTTGGTGTTAAAGATCCATCCTGCTTCCGAGAGGACAAGCTTAGACAAAGCGGGAAAGAGAAGAATGCCAAAGATAGAAAACACAGCTTCTGTCTCTAGTGCTGACTCTCAGGGTACGTTTAGACTGCAAGCTTCTTTCAAAAGGAGCGTCCACATCTCAAAACCAGATCGAAAAAGTGATCTGATTTTTCAAAAGAGAGCATCCAGACTGCATGGACATGCTCTCAAAAGCCCTGATTGCTTTTCACAGAATGGCCACCAGGGCACCTGTGCTTTTTTCGATTGTTCTTCTTTTGAAAAATGTCCCAGTTCTGCATCCACATGCACCTTTTTTTCGAAAGAGCTCTTTTGGAAAAGGTGTTCTTTCTCATCATTTGAGATTTACCAATGTCAGGAAAACCGCTATGTTCTTTCGATTTAATTTTGAAAAAAACATGATTGCAGTGTGGATAGGTGACGTTTTTTTTCGAAAAAAGGGCAGTTTTTTCGAAAAAAACAGTGTAGTCTAGACATACCCTCACTGACAGTCATACTGCTGGAAAAACACAGGCCCAGCACATAGTCTGACCAGCCACTCTGAGACCTGGAAACTTTGTCTCAGTGTGGCAAAATAGGCTTGACTCATATTACAAAAGAAAAAACCTGGGAAAGAGCAGAAATATAGTGTGGAAGGAGACGGGCATCTTGGAGAGTTGGAAGGGGTGATACAGTCCCACATCCATGATGACATTTGGGGTTTAGTCAGTGACAATGGAAATAAAGACATTACTGGATCCCTCTCTCTCGGCCCAATCTGGTCATCACATCTGTAAGGAGGAGGAGGAAGGATGTCTGGGGACCACAGGGTAGCGCACGCAGTCATCATAAGGAAGCTCATTCTAACCCTTCTTTTATTGTTTAGTCAGCCAGATTGCTCCCTGATATCTCTTCTTTTAAAGATCTCATGGCTGGAATAGCCCCATCCCCTCATTATTTTGTCCATCAGTTACACCGAATTTCTGGCCCACCAGTTTTGATTTGAGAATGGGTCCCACGCTTCTCTTGTTAACCGTGCATAATCTTAACATGGTGCTTGAATTATATAGGTAGGCCTTTTGCTTAGACTAACACAGTCTTTCTGTGGCCCTTTTGCACCTTTACCCACCAATATGTTGTTGTAGGATAGGGGATGGTTTGTATTTTATGAGCGTTCACTCACATCTTACCGCTGACCTCACAATTCAAATAAATGTGTAAGCCCAGTTACTCCACCAGAACTCAGTACTGTCTGCCTTTGTGCCATCTTGGTATTTTTCATGCATGCGCTTGGCCCATGTAAGTTATAGAAAAAAAGGCAGATTTGTCTAAATGACTATTATTAGATGTTGCTGTTCACTTTATGCCCCTGTTTCATTTTGACCCTGGGCTGGCATTGCTGGTTGAGTTTGCGTGACCACCCCCAAAATAAATAAAGACACAGATAATATAAAAATCAGGCTACACACCCAACAAAATGACTAACAGATGAAACCATGAATATAAGAACAGCCAGACTGGGTCAGATCAGAGGTCCATGTAGCCCAGTCTTCCGACAATGGCCAATACCAGGTGCCCCTGATTTTCCAGCAGCAGTCTGATTCCTATAGGCAATTCTGAAATGATTGCTATTTTATATATATATTGAGGTAGCATCTAGGGGCCTCAGATGTGTACCAGGATTCCATTGTGCTTGCTACTGGGCTAGCACTGAGCTACGACACAGTCTCTCTCCCCCACTGATCTGCTTTTAAACTGCTTTTACAAAGAGATTCTCTTTCTCTTTTGGGAACAGATGTTCAAAGCGAGTTTGCTGCTTGAGCAACTTGCCCAATCTGAAGCCACCTCAAATAGATGGGGGGGGGGGCAGAAGCAAAGAGCATCTGTAATCGCAGAATCATCGAAATGTCGGGCCAGAAGGGCTTGCAAGAGGTTGCCTATTCCACCTCCCAACCCTGAGGCAGGACGGAGTAGAACCTAGGTATTGAAGGGCAGGTCTGAGCTGGGGTGCAGGGACCAGGAGAAGCATTAATTGAACCCCCATTTAGTACGATCACCTGAGTGACTCACCTGGTGGGCAGCTTCACTCGCAGGTACCTGTCGATGGCAATAGCCAGGAGAGACAGGATGGAGGCATTCGTGAAAACCACCATCAGGCAGCACATGAAGAGGCAGGAATAGAAGTGGATGACCACTCCCAGGCTCACCACAATGGCCAGCGGCATGACGAGGATCCCCACAGCTATATCAGCCAGCGCCAGCGAGACGATGAAGTAGAAGGTGTTGGTCTGAAACGCTGGGTTCAGCTTCACCACCCAGATCACCAGGATATTGCCCACGGTGGCGGATAGCGCAATAATGCACTCAACGGTGATGTAAACAGCAGTCAGGCTGCTGTGAGACACGCTGCTGTTTGTCATGGCGAAGAGCAAGCTGTCTCCTTTGCTGGCTCAAGAAACCAAGAGGAACAAGCCCCAGCGGGATTTCCCTCCAAATGAAACCAAACCTCAGCTCTCCCAGTGACTTCCTTTACAATAACTTCCTGTGCAGAACTTTATGTCCCCATGGAATGAGGCAGCTAGCTGGCTGTTACCCCTCCTTAGCATCGCACAGGAGTAAATTGCACCCAGATCTCCATGATGTGCAATCCGTTTGGTCAGTGCCAGGACTTCTCTGTAGCCCCGTCAGTATCCTTCACGCACTCGGGAAATGTGCTTCGGGAGGGTCAGAAATCTTGTCGGGATCTGGCCAAAAATCCACCTGCCTTCTTCACTTGGTCTAGCGCTGTCACTTTTCAGTTACTCTATTTCAGAGCTGCAAGCAGGTTTTTTTTTTTATTTTAAGAATTACCCATGTCAGTCAACCACATCTGACTGTAGATAAGCAACTTCTACTCTTCTTAGGAAGTGAAGTAGTTAAGAGGAAGTCATGAGGATATTCTGTTTGATTTCAGCCTCCCACTTGGCTTTGAATGCATTTTCAGCTCCTGCTGTGTTAACCATCAACTAAGAGTCTGAAGAGGCGGGGTGCCTAGTTATCTTTGTGATGACCTTCTGAGACAGCTATGCACCAGGGGACACTGCTGTGACTAGGGTGGTCCTGTCATAATGCAGAGGCAAGGCCTTCTCAGTGGAAGAGCCTAGGCTGTGGAAATTATTAGCACTAGACATCAGAATCAGTTCAACCCTAATCATGTTCAGAGAGCAACACATGGTTTTAGTCGGTTCTTCACGTTCTTAGGCCACATCTCCACTTGCCGCACTGGGAATCGATCTTCTGGTGTTCGATTTAGTGGGTCTAGTTAAGACCCGCTAAATTAAACACTGAGGGTAGCTTCAGTTGATGCTGGTACTCCTGGCAGTTGCGAAGAGTAAGAGAAGCCAACAGGAGTGTTTGCTCCCCTCAGCTTCCCTCTGTGAAGATGGTGCCAAGCTCGTCTTAAGGTAAGACAACTTCAGCTACATGTTTTATGTAGCCAGGATTGCATACCTTAACACAATCTTCAAGGTCTAGTGTAGATCTGGCCTTAGTCTCTGCATCTACATAATATGATGACAGATACAAAGGTCTCCTTGCCATGAAACTGGCAAAGAATGAGTTCATGGCTAGAGGAAAGAAAAAGGAAAGAAGTAACAGAAGAAGGCAGCAGGGAACTAGGAGAGACAGAGTGATATGTTGGTAAGAATAACTAAACAAAGCTGAAAGCATGTGAGTTTGTTAGGGAAAAGCGTTTCTATGACCCTTAAATTTGCATTTCATTTAGACCTACAGATAGACACATGGTACCCTAGGGATGGCAAATATAACCCACAGTGGAATGGTGGGATGAAAACTATTGTTGATCCCAAACTTTTATCCAGGTCCCAAGAGTGTCTTGTAAAAACACAGAAATCCAGCCTGAGTGATACTGATATTTCAAGGTCCTTTCTAATGGTGTCTGCTCCCAGTAACATGTCTGGCCTTTAACTGCCAGCTTTGTAATGGTCTATATTGCTAGCTTCTCTGGGGAGTGCTTTCCTCTTCCGAATGTAAATAACAAGCCATGTTATGATAAACACAACGGACCGGGATATAATCATTGGAAGGCAACACATCCAACAGTCACTTTCTTAAGCATCCATTGTCTCTGAGCTGACATTGTTCCTGACAGCAGCAACAGTGCTGTGGAAGTGAAATCAACCCAGCCTCTTCCGTGGTAAGACAACTGGTGAAAACATACACTGAAAAAGCCAAGACACTTCTGCTTAGGAAATACAGATACTGCGCCACCTTCATCCTGTGTGTAGACACACTGAAATCAGTGGTGTCGCTCCGGTGTAATGCCGAGCAGAACTGCCTAGTGAATAGGCATTAATCTGGCTGCATTGGGCTGGGATTGAGGTTCTTTAGGGGCTAGGTCCAATGTCCACCAAAGCCAAGGGAGCAGATCCTTAGGGAACCTCAGTTATATCTAATCCATTGACATCAATCGGGATAGGAGGCCTTTGTAGATGGTGGTGCCATAGCCGAGGCTACTGATGCAGAGAATAAGCCTTAGTCAAAGACTCAGTTCTGACTTGCAATGAGCACACAGAAGAAGTCAAGGCACATGCCATTCACTTACACCCATGTGCTGCTAGAGCATGGGCAACGAGAAAGCCGAGGGCAAGGGGCGCATGCTAGGAATTAGCTAATAAGTAAGCACCACAAGCATCCAATTCAGCAGAAATGCCCATGGCCAGCTGTCTGCAGAACAAGCAGCAATTTCAGCCATAGAACAGTTCCCCCCCAGCCCAAGCATAGATCCAGGTTTCACTCACCTGTCCAGCCATAGGTAAAACTAAGTCTGGGCAAACCCTCGCTCCTCTTTGCCTGCTAAGCATGACCTCATCTCCTCATCTCATGTTATTTTATGTGGCCGGATGCGGCATGCAGCAGGTAGAGATGGATAAGCGTGTGTGTGCACACATAGGACAGGTGGTGAGCCAACCAGGGTGGTGACGGAAGGGTGTGCCTGAAGGCATGCAGTGTGGACACATGTTGGGTACATGACGGAGACTGTAAAACCCATACTTGTTTGTTATTTGCTACATTCATTTCCTGGCCATGCTGAATTGAGCTAGGTGTGGCCCTAGCGGGGCTAGTGCTATTAATTAGAGCAGTTTGATTGAAAACATAGCTGAGGGAGGAAACCCTCCAATTCGACATCGTCTTCTTTTCCTACCACCTGCGACAATAAAAGAGTAATCACCACATCCTGCCTTCGGCACAGCCCCACACCACCCTTGTGACCACTATCATCACTCTGACCCCTTACATCCTTTTCCAAAGAACTATTTCCTAAAATAGCCTTCTCACCTATATGTGCATCCGGCAACTGAACTGTGTTACTTTTCACCTGGCCTAATATACAGGCATGCTGCTTGCTTGCACGAGTGATCCAGACAGTTCTGCATCTGTATGAATTGCCCTCTTCATTATTTACCAAGCCCCCAATCTTTGCGTCCAGATTAAGAAGAGAAATTGGTGATGGGCAGGCCACATCCTGTGGAATGGACTGCGAGGAATGTATCGTGGGACAAGCATTAGAATGGAATCCAAAGGGGAAGAAGAAAAGGGAACATCCCAAACAAACATGGCAACGAAGCTTCCTGGACAAAGTAAAAGCAACTAGCTTAATGTGGGGACAAATCAGGACTATCACTAAGGATCACAAGAGATGGACAGTGGAGGCCCGATGCTCCATTAGGAGCCCAAAGGACTAACGATGATTAATATTTGCGTCATCCGCAAGCTTTACTAATGATGGTTGTTGATTTCCTTCCGGGTCACTGCTAAAAATAATGAAATGTCATAGGGTCAAGAAGTGATCTGCACAGGACCCCATGAGAGCCACACCCATTCAATGATGATTCCATTTACATTTCAAGAGCTGTCCGTTGGCCAAATTTTAACCCATTTAATTAGTGGCACATTCATTTTTTACCTTTCTAGGTTTTTTTTTTAATCAAAACATCATGCAACTCTGAATCTATTAAAGCTCCACTACTACCCTCATCAACCCAAAAATATATCAGGTTAGTCCGACAGGATGTATTCTCCATAAACCCACATTGATTGGCATTAATTATATAATCCTCCTTTAATTTTTATTAATCAAACACTGTAGCAGCTGTTCCATTAATTTGCCCAGGACTGAAATGAAGCCGACAGGCCAATAATTTCCTGATTCATCCCGTTTAAATATTTTAAATATTTGCTCAACATCAGCTTCCTTCTAGTCTCCTGGAGCTGCCCCAGTCTTTCAAGATTCATTGAAAATCAGCATTAATGGTCCAGTGCCCTCCGCTCTTTGAAAACTCTCAGATACAAAGAAGTGGGTTTTGCCCATGAGAGCTCATGATTTTATCTATCTATCTATCTATCTATCTATCTCTCTCTCTAAGGCTATGTCTACACTGCATGCCTTTTTCGACAGAGGCTTTTTCAACAATATCTTTAGAAAAAGCCTCTGTCGAAAAAGAGCGTCTAGACAACAAGAACATTTTTCAAAAAAGTGTCTTGCTTTTTCAAAAGAGAGTGTAGACGCTCTCTTTTGAAAAAGCCCTGTTTTCATGCAATAGATGACTTTTGAAAAAAGGTGTTATTCCTCATAGAATGAGGTTACCGCCATTGACAAAACTGCCACGTTCTGTCCACTTACTGTCACCAGAACACGGCGATAGTGTAGACACAGGTATAGTTTTTTTCGACCAAAGCCAACTTTTGTCGAAAAAAACCCTCTAGTTTAGACACACCCTAAGATGCCACAGGACTACTCAGTGTTTTTTAAGTTGCAAACTAACACGCCTACCCCTCTGAGACTTTTCCTCAGATACAAGTTAGCCAGACCAACTGATTTTCTATCAGTCTAAGCTTATAGCAGCTGCTGTGTAACATCCTCTCGAGTTACTGTTGGTCTGGAAAGTGTATTGTCATCACCATTCTCATCTGATACGAATACATTATCAAGCTTTTTCCTGAATACGGAACAGAAAATGTACTGAACACTTCTGCAGTTTCCCCATTATTATTGACAGTTCTCGCATTTCTATCAGGTAACAGCCCAATCCCATTATTAGGATTCTTTGTGTCCTAGTATACTTGAAAGACTCCTCATTGCCTTTTACTCTGCAGTCCTAGATTTCTCCCTGTGTCCTTCTGTTTGTCTTGTCTATGTTCTATCATTCCAATCTTCTAATATGTGCAAATTGGTTTATATTCATGAGCATCAGCGTCTCCTTTTTTAATTTGTTGTGTGTCATGTTTGAGGTGTTGGTTGATTAACCTACATCCTTTCTCTATTGTGGGATTGTGTACTTTGGGTTATCTAGTAAAATATTCTTAAACATTTCCCAATTATCATTCACTTTTTTTTGTTCAAGTCCCTCTCCCTGTTGATTTGGCCCATAACTGTTTTCAGCTTTGTGAAACTTTTTAAGCACCCAGTATTTGCTTACTTGTATGGGCTTTATTTCTGTTTGCAATCAACAGATGTGGTCAAGTCACAAGCAATCCCTGGGAATGTGTAGCTCCTCTTTATCTCTCCAGATGAGATCTAGCCTAGAATTTCTCCATGCTGGGTGCAATTCTTCCCTGAGTCATTGCCATTGATAATGTTTAGAAACAGTGAGGATGTTTTAGTACTGGAGCATGACACACCCCTCCCGCACCAGCATATGTCACTCAGACCACAGTCCCCCACCCACTGAGCAGAACCACAAGGACTGCTGCATTAGTAGAGAGGGGCTAGGGACACCCCATCCTTTAGACACCCTCCTGAATCCAGAACTGTTCAGGGAAGCCCCCACCCTCAATCTGGGGCTACTAGGACCAAGGAGGCATCTCCCCTATTCTCTGCCATGGGGTCAGGGGAAGAGAGGAACTGCAGAGAGAAGCCCCATCCTGATTCCAG